ATATATCTGATTATTACTAGTCATAGTCGGTTACTTTCTGAGCTCCTTGGCATCTGAGCATGGATATAAAGTCATCAGGTAGATTTCAATGGTAATGTTTTTCATGTCTACTAATTATTAAGGAGCAAATTTTTATGCTTTCAAGAAAAAAAAATTCTCATTTTTTAAAAGACAATTAAGGGGCTGGAGAGATGGCTCAGCAGTTAAGCACAGTGGCTGCTCTTTCTGAGGACCCAGGTTTGATTACTAGTACTCATATGGCAGGTAAGAACCATTTGTAACTATAGTTCCAAGAGATTTGACACCTCTTCTGACTTTTTCAGGCTTTGCACAACATGGGTGCATTTACATACAAGCAGGCAATACACTCATACACATAAAATAAAAATAATAGTTTTAAAAGATAAATAATATGAGAAGGCAGGAGGAAAACTGAATAACCTATAAAAATATAAAGAGGTCCTCAGTCTCAGCAGTAATTAGGAAATTTGGAACAAAAATATGACACTTTTTAATTTGATGAGAAAAAATTTTTAAATTCATATCAGTTTTGACAAAAAAATGTGGGAATAAAGTAAATAAATCTCAAATGTTGTTGGTTGAACTTAAGTCAGGGGGTACCACTTAGGATGGGGTAGGGGAAGAAAAAAAATCTCTACCCTCTTAGGATACCCCAGCAGGACATGAGAATTAAACTGATATCAGATAGATTAACAGGAGAAAAAAAATTACAGATTTAGTTAATCCTTTATATGACTAAGGTGCCTTCATAAGAAATAACCTAGAGTAGCAAAACCTAAGTGTTGTTGTTCTGTAAATTTCCTAAAGAGGCATAAACTTTTGCCTCTGACTTGGGAAGGGTCCAACAGATCAAAGAATGATTCAAACCCAGTTTATTAGGGGTTACTTACAGAGCATATGACAGCTTATAAGCAACTACACTCAAAAACGTTACTACATTCCCACTGGGCTCCTGTCTTACAGAGCTCTGAGCTTATGTGGTGTCCCGAGCAGGCTCACCCTAGAGTGGAACTCTGTGCTTGGTGCACTCCGTTTCTCTCTCTCTTTCATTCTTTTCATTTCTTTCCTGCCCTTCCTTCCTTCTTTCTTTCTTTCTTTCTTTCTTTCTTTCTTTCTTTCTTTCTTTCTTTCTTTTTTTCTCTTTCTTTCCTTTTCTCTCTCTTTCCTTCTTTCATGAGTTTGTGGTCTGTGTGTGTGTCTGTGTATGTGCATGCACTCATGTTCGCACTTGTATTTGCACATACATGTGCATGTGGATGCCCAAGGTTTAGCCCAGGTGTCTTCCTTAGGCACTCTCCACCTTGAATACTGAGGCAGAGCTTCACTTGACTTCAGAGAGCACCAATTTAGCTAGCCAGCTTACTCTAAGGATTCTGCCTCCAGTACACTGGGATTACAGATGAGAGGAGCCACACAGCTCTCACATGGGTATTGGGGAAGCTCAACTGCAGTCTTCATACTTGCATGACAAGTGCTTTACTTACTGAGTCATCACTCCATTCCTCTGGTGCACTCCATCTTTGTCCTTTTCAGAAATTTCAAAGGTCTCAGCAAACACTACCATTGTATCTCATGGGACCCTAGCACCATACGAATCCTGCCACAGGTGCTTCCTGGTCATTTAAATGGGGTTCCTCAGTCATTTTCCTTTCGAGGTGTCCCCTTAGATGCCTTAACAGTTTGTGTTCTCAGTTATGAGATGATCCAAGTTGCTTAGGTCTACTAGCACTTCCCCCACATTGATAGAAGTTGTATCCCACTAGCGGTCCATTAAAGTTTTCTCCAATTTAAGCAGCTCACAAGCTAAACAGTCCCTGATGACATAGTCTCTTGAGCAGGGCTATCGTTAATGCCTCTGTCTGTCTGTATGCTGAATTGTGGTGGTACCACATTAAAGAAAGACTAGTTCCTAGAGTCATTTAATCAAGAATGAGCCCAGTCTGTTCTGAAGTGTTCTGATTTTGCTCAGAACTGTTCCTCTTGAACAAAGAGTGTACTCTATTTATTGAACAGCAAATTTAAGCATGGTATGGGAAAAGAATGAGGAACTGCATTTTGAAGAATCTTTAGCCAGTTTTTACAAGGCAAAAGGTTGCTTTTTCTGACCCAGAACAACATGTATATATACAAACAGATGTTATCAACCTATGCCCACATGTTGCTTGCAACATTCACTGTGGATAATTCCTTGATTTCAATTCCAATATTGATATTCATCAATCAAATTAGCACAACACACACACATTATTCTGGGTCAGGGGCAACGAAGGGTCATGAGGGAGCAATAAGGAACATAGTTTAAGGTTAAAGTTATGTGTTTTAGCTTATAAAAGTTGATTACATGGGGAGCCCAAGGCCTAGTAAGATTATTTACATTTTTTCCTAAAGGCTGGTTAAATTTAGATAAGCTGATTACACAATAGGAAGGCAGATTGAATATGCATACTAAATGATCTCAAAACACATGATTAACAAGGTTTAGGTAAAAGTTCCTTTTGTAACAGAAGCCGAATTACAGACTTTTCCTTTGTCTGTACCAAGGTCAGACCCAGGGGCTATCCTCTACAACTTCCATTACATTCTCTCCCTCCTTTGTCTGGCTCTTCCTAAGGGCTCCAGGTCTTTGGGTCCCAAAGTATACAGTATACTGTATTTCCCTTTTGTACCCTCAGTGGTAAGGAAAGACATGCCAAAACTTCCATTTGATCTTGCCTTTATCTAATTGACCTGCCAAGTCAGGGGCAAGATAGGGGAACCCTACTCACAGACCCTTTCTAGCTAGAGTTCCTCCAAGTGATCTATTTCCCTCTAGGCAGGCAGTAACATGTCCTATCCTCCAGAGCAGGGGCCAGTCAGAGCCAAGATCTTCTGCACTCCTGTCCCATACATTCTGCTCTCATGAGCTGTGATATAGTCTCTAGACTGTTAGGTGCTTTGGCGGGGCATCCCTGTACTGAGGTAGCAAGCTACACTCATGAAAAAGGAGTGCTGCGTCTTACCATTTAGAGGCACTTTCTGGAGGGGAGTTTATTAAGACTTGGAAAATTTTAAAGGGAATTTGTTAAGACTCAGGAAGTGAACAGTTCATAAGTCTCAGGAAGTCCCTGAAACCGACCAGATGTACAAGGTTCCTCCCTCCTCAAGATTATATAAGTAGTAATGACTGTTGAAGAGACTCAGGCCAGCCATCCTGCCTGGAAAAAAACTCTCCAACCTTTCTGCAAGTTGTGTGAGTTGTCACCTATGCTGGGGTGGACTACTGGTGATGAAACTGCCTTGAGTCACCCATGCTTCTGAAAGTATCCCTAATAAATTCATTGGTTCACCAAGTTGGACTTTGGTGGTACCATTACTTTGGTTTGTCATCAATTCCCTATCTGGGGTTAAGAGACATCTGTTCACATCTCCCCAGGAATGGTGTCATACACAGCCAGCCACCCAGGATTTCCCCTACAGATGCTCCACCTCACTCATCTTTGGGTGTGTCTGGTCCCTGTTTGAATGCCAATTGCTTGGATTTCCTAAGGAGACATAAAAGAAGGTTCTGCCTCAAAATAGAGATGGTGTCAGCAGACCAAAGAATGATTTGAAAAAAGTTCAACTTGATAAGCAAATGAGTTTTCTAGGGCTTACTTACAGAGCATTGAGTGGCTTAGGAGCAGCTGCACGGATGGAGGATGCTCCCCTCTCCCTCCCCACAAGCTCCTATTGTGCAGACTCCTAAGTTTATGTGGTAACCAACAGAGGGCAAAAGCAAACCAGACCTAGAGAGGAGCTGTGTGTCTGGATGCATCTTATTCTTGTTCTTATTTGAAGATTTGAAGATCTAAGTAAACAATCTCACATCAGGGGAAGGATGGTTCAGTTTTGCTAAGGTCTAACATGCTGCCTCTGTGCACAGAACTAAATGCTAGTTTACTGCAAAATGGCATTATTTTTGGTAGAATTGGAGAACCATGTTCCCTATACTTAAAACAGATTTTTATGGATGTGTATACATGTATGTCTGTGTGTGGGTATGTACATGTGAGTACCAGTGCCCAAAGAAGCCAAAAGAGGGTATTGAATCCCTCAGCGCCGGAGTGACAGGTAGTTGTGAGCCACAGGACCTGGGTACTGAAAACTAACTCAGGTCCTCTGCAAGAGCAGCAAGTGCTCTTGACTGCTGAACCATCTGTCGAGCTCCTGCCTATGCTTTTATATTGGGATGAATGAAAACAGGCACCTAACATATGGGGAAAGCTAAATGAAGAAATTATGCTTCCTTTTTTATTTCTGACAATTTCAGACATATATACAATGTACTGTGATCGTACCCAGCCCCTTGCTGTCCTCATCCCTCCCCAATTCTTGCCAGCCCCTTCTTCTTCATAACTAGTCTTCTTGTTTCATGTTGAAAGTTATTTTAGCAAGGGCACTTGCAGAGAATCCTCTCTGCCCCATCTCTGGTG